TTTCAGGCGGGCGAGCACAGCGGCCCGGCCCGGGAGGGGACGTCGCGGTCTCTGCAGAGGGAAACGGGGCGCGCGGAGCGAAGGTCCTGGAGGAAGAAAAGGAAAAACAGGCCCGAGCTGGCTCCCCGGGCGGCTACCGGGTTGCCTCCTGGCCACGCTGTGCCCGTCCCGCTCGGATGGGCGCCGCGGGTCCGGGCCGCCGTCCCTGACGCCCCGGCCACCTCACGAGGCCGCGACCGTCGCCTCCGGAGCTGAGAACCCGCGGCGGCCGCAGCCCCAGTCGTGACGTAACAACGACGTCAGCGAAGGGGCGGGGCCTGGGCGGGGCCCGGAGGGAGCGCCGGCGGGCGGGCGGGGGAACGCGGCGGCCCAGCCAGGGGCGCGGAACACGTGCGAAGCCGCAGCCTGGACTGCGCTCCGGGCAGCTCCCGGAGGTGCCTCTCCAGTGTGTTCTCTGCGCGCTTTCCTTCTGCCCTGCGGAGGGTTAGTCATGGACTTTGCCTGCGGTTTGGACTTTGGACTGTGTCGCTTTGTGTATGTTTTGTAAAAATGGGTCACTTAATTGTCCCCTTAAAATCGGTAAAAATAGAAGAGCGTGTTTATGCCAGATCCTGGTGAACTGGGAAAATCTTGGCATAGTTGGTTTGAGGTGGTAGAGGGTGAAACCCAGAAAACAATGATTTTCCATCTCTAGGTGGGAATGTAGTTTGTGCACCGCGTGTTAGAAAAGGTTTTGCCAAAGGGCAGTTAGAGCCAGGTCCACTGGCCTCCTGCCTGTCGCAGTCTCTCCCCTGCCCTCCTTCAGTCCCAGGGGCCTTCAAAGCCGGGCATTGAAGCGCGCAGTTCCCAGGACAAAGGTTGTTGAATGTTAATGTGTCCCAGTGCAAAATGTACCCGTATTTCTTGTCATTACTCTGAGTGTGGGAGCAACTTATATAAAACTAGAGGCCCGGCCCTAGGCGGCTTGGCTCAGTGGATAGAGCGTCAGCCTGCGGACTGAAGGGTCCCAGGTTCAATTCCGGCCAAGGGCACATGCCTGGGTTTCAGGCTCCATCCCCAGTCGGGGGTGTGTGCAGGAGGCAGGCGATCAATGATTCTCTGTCATCATTGATGTTTCTATCTCTCTCCTCCCTTCCTCTCTGAAATCAATAAAGGTATTAAAAAACAAAACAAAAAACAAAACTAGAGGCCAGGTGCATGAAATTCGTGTGTGTGTGTGTGGGGGGGGGGGGAGCCCTCAGTCTGGCCTGCACCCTCTCACAATCTGGGACCGCTGGCTCCTAACCACTCACCTGCCTGCCTGCATGATTGCCCCTAACCACTCTGCCTGCCTGCCTGATCACCACTAACTGCCTCTGCCTTGGCCCCTGCCACCATGGCTTTGTATAGAAAGATGGATGTCCAGAAGATGTCTGGTCTAATTAGCATATTACCCTTTTATTAGTATAGATGAGCAGTGTGGGTGAGCATGCAGCACCCGGTTTTGTATTTATTTAACCCCAGTGGAGTATACTCTTTATGACAATTTCTGTGCCAGTCCTGAGGGAGAAGGGGGTTGCTTGCATACATAAACTAAGCAAGGCTGGCTTCTAATAGCCCCCTTGTTCATGAAGGAAAAAATCCAAAGAATTACAAGAGAAACAGTAGCCAAAAGTTGTGCGAAGCTATCATACGTCTTGAAGCAGGGGTGAAAGTTTTAGGAAGACTAGGGGTGTGATCCTCACTCTTGGAGCGAATGAGGAACGGGAAACAAAGAATGAACTGCGAGAATGTAGCCTTTAAATGGTACCCCTTTAAAATAAAGCAAAATCAGCATTTCAGTGCACAGCTAGTGAAGGAGGACTTGGAGAGGGACGCCCCTGGGGTGGGGAGAAAGAATCAGAGGAGGAGGTGAAGGAATGTACAACCAGCCTTTGCCTCTGCTCCTGTGTCTTAACTAGCTTCAATGTGGCTTTGTTTCCATGGCTGGCAGATCAGTGTGGGAGCCTGTATTAAACAGTTCATTCTAGCAAGCTTGGTTCTGAAATTTCAGAATCCTTGGGCATGTCACAGTGACCCTGTTACTGGGCAATGTTGCTGTCCAAACCTTGACATCTAGGGTGCAGTCCTTTGTATCAAAGGAATGTACTCACTAGCGTGGAAAGATAGACGGAAACGCAAATAATATAAAAGAGGGGCAGATGGGAAGGTTGTGGTGTGAGCTGAAGATGGAACCAGTCAAGCCAAAGTTTCAAATTTGAAAAATATTAGAGGAAAAAGGAATTAAAGAACTCTTGACACTTCTTGCTTGTTTCAGCTGCTTAGATCCTCTATTGGTGGAAATGTACGTAAACCCTTTCAGAAGGGCATTTTACAATGTGAACTAGAAGGGCCCCTGAAATTCTTGCTCTTTGGCACAGTAACCTCACTTCAAGGAAGTTATCCTGAGGAAATGATTGGACATGTACACAGAGATGTGTGTGCAGAGTTTTGTTGCTGTAAAGTTAATCATAGAAGAAAAAAAAAAAGAAAGAAAAACAACAACCCAAGTATCTACCAATGGAGGATTAGTCAGATACAGTAATACAAATGGTGAACTATTAGGCAGCTACTAAAAAGAAAGATATAGACATATGGTTATGGACATGAAACCATGTCCAAAATGCAGTATTTGAAGGGGAAGAGCAGGTTACTGAGAAGTTTGCATGGTATGATTCTACTTTTGCATTCATACAAGAAAAAGACAGAGATATATATATACACTAAAATGTTAACCATAGTCATCTTTAGGTGATTGGATTTAGATGATTTCAATTTTTCTTTTGTGCTTTATCACTATTTTACTATTTTTTATTAAGTAATTATGCATTTTTTTTTTATAATTTTAAGATATCTTTTAAAAAATAAGACAACCACTACAACCGCTTCCCTGGTCAGGAGGTTCAGTAGTAGAGATTCATTCTTTGGGATTCCAAGAAAGAGGTTGGCTATCTTCTCATGAGGGTGATTTCAGTTTCCTAACTATGCCTAATTGAGAAGCTTAATTAGAAGTTTTGTTCATAGACCAGGATGACAAGCCTAGCTGGTTTGGTTCAGTGGATAGAGCATCAGCCTGCGCACTGAAGGGTCCCAGGTTTGATTCCAGTCAAGGGCACATCCTCAGTAATGGGTGTGCAGGAGGTAGCCGATCAATGATTCTCTCTCATCATTGATGTTTCCATCTCTCTCTCCTTCTCC